ACTGGGAAAAATTAGAAGTAGCACCTTATTTTGTATACCTGGTGAGGGAAAAATGGAAAATGGGTAGTCCGATCCAAGGGAAGCTAAAAGTGGGAACCAGTTCGAATTGATGGCTGTAATTGAATGTGCTTTTATCGTTTTATAAATTCCAAGAGAGATAAACCTTTTCCAGAATCATGGGATCCATTATAATTGAGCTTTTGACATACATTAAGGTATACAATTCAAAGATTGCAATAATGTTGAGACAAACAACATAATATTAATAAACATTATATCCCCACAAAGAATAGAAAAGGTCCCAAATTCAAAGATTGCAATAATGTTGAGACAATCAACATAACATCAATAATCATTATATCCCACAAAGAATAGAAAGGATCCAAAATCTTCATGTGCTGATCATGATACATAATTCGTTGTCATTGTTATAAAACTTTGGATTAATCTTTTCTATATTGACAATGTTGTGCCCCATTTTTTTGAAAAATAATAATATATGTATATGGAAAAAGTGAATTTATTAAAAGATGAGGGTATTGAAAAAAATAAGTTTTTGATCTTAGAGGATAAATAAAGAAAAAAGGCCTAAAACCGGACTTAAAAAGTGCGACGATTTTGGCCCAAAATAATAGTCTAAAAAGGATTTTAAAGAAAAAATAAGAGTTGCCACTTGGTATTGAATTAAAATGTACCAAGTCATCCAAAATATGTTTTTAAATAAAAAAAAACCCTTTTTAGATGACTCTAAATCTTTGAAAACAAGATAAAAGAGTTCGAGAGTCACGGCTGAAAAAAGAGAAGACAAAGATTTGATAGAATCAAACTTAAGGCACCATTTCAACCTAACCAAGGTTAGTTGCAAGATTTAGTCTAAAATTTTCCTAATCTAACCTATAAAACTTATCGCATTTAGATGTTTCTACATGGATACAAATCTAAACCTAATAAATATCGAGAGAGTTGAAATATCTTTTTCAAAGTTTAATTGGTGCGAATCACATTAATTGTGATACTCAAAAATGATTTTTAGAAAAGGTTATGAATATACAAAAATGAGACTCAAAGAAAAGAATAATTATAATATATAAATATACGTGATCTAAAAGAGAGGAATGCAACATAATGGGTATAGGGATTAAGATTTGTGACTCAATTTTCCTTTTTATAGGGGCGATACGAGCGTGCTAAGGTTAAGAAGCCATACTCGTCCATTTTCCCATATTTGAAGGGTGACTTCCCTAACCCAATCAAGCAAATGAACTAACTTACTTTTAATTTCCTAAATAGAATACAAGTCTAAGTGTCATGTTTCGCATACATAGGGGTAAGAAAGATAATATATAGAGGGAATATTATGCAAGATGAGAAAAGACCCTAAAAATGAAAACATGTATGAAATGCGATGACCGTCACGCAAAAAATGTGATTCTATCGCGAGACGGCTTAAAGGATCTAGTATTGGACTAACCAATTTCTACAAGTCTTCATTAGCATTGGACTAATGAAAAATCGGGGAGAAAGACCACAACTAACGTTGGACTAGTGTGGTGATGTCATACATTTATTATAAAACAAATAAATTATATAAAACATAATTAAAGCAAATAAACACACAATGCGCATAGAACACATAACACATAAGCATAATTTCTAGATGCAAAACCCTAATGAAAGCGAATAAACACGTAAACACACAAGCAAATAAATGCAAATAAAAATCTAGCTATTACATTCGGTCCCTAATTACAATCTAAGGGGGGGAATTTTAAAAATAATAACCTACCTATTACATTTATCTAATTAAATACAATTTTAACAAAAATTAAAACCTATCTATTACATAGGCTAGCTAAATACATGTCTTGAACACCTATCTATTACAATTTAGCATTTTAATGCCTCTCAAATAATCATTAAAAATAAATTAAATTAAATGAAACTTAAAATGAATAAAAATGAATAATTAAAAGAAAAAGCACTCAAAACATGCAATTACACATAAAAATACATTGGAGCACATAAAAGAATTTGAAATAATAAAAGAGGTTACTTCCCTTGAAGTTGTGGTTAAATGGGGTGAAATTTGCCCTATTTATGCTCTAAAATCAACAAAATGGTCAAGACACCAATTTAATTAACAAATATTTTCTAAAAATAGAAATAACCATGAAATCTATCAATTAAACATTTAAATGAAATACAGTTAATAATTAAAGAAGAAAAGCAAGTTGTATTTAAGAAATCAAAACTATGAGGGATCTAATTGCAAAAATAAGAAAGTTTTTAGAATAAAATTATAATTATTACAAAAATTAGGGGTCAAAATAACATGAAAATAAAGATCAGAGATCAAATTACAATTAAATTAGGGACCTAATGGAAAGAAAACCAAGTATTTTAGGGCCATGATAAAATTATTTAAAAGTACAGGGACTGAAATACAATTTCATCACCAGATTGCTTGATAAAAAGGCCATTGGGCCATTTTGTTTCTCCTTGGGCCAAAAAATATTTAGCCCAACAAAAGCCCTAAGGAAAAGGGTGGGCTGGCCTTCCAGTTTTACCCAACAAGACCCAAGCATAAGGTTGAAATTTAACCTCTTGACCCAATGCCAAGCCCAAAGGAAAAATAAAACAACAACCCAATTAGAATATGCCTTCACCCAATAAACCATTAAAACCACTAAAAAATATTAAGCTTTATTCATGGCTTAAAATCTGAAAATAGGTTGCTGGAAAACACATTTAAAAACTTTCCCGTAGTCCTACATCGATTCTAAAGGGTTTGGGTAGTTAGGTTCTCAGGTTTGCTCCAAGAGTTGTCGGCTTTTGAGATTAAATCTGGGATTAGGTTTAATTAACTAACTTTAAAAGTCTGATAAAAAAAGAAAACACATTTAAAATATTCGAAAGATGATTAAAATTTAAAAGGGGTCAAAATGGCTCATTTGCAGAAATTTGTGGGCCATAATGAAATTACAAAAATTGAGGGGTCAAAACGCAAAATTCCAGACTTCCATGCAGATTGATTCGAAGGAGCTGTCTTCCTTCTGCAACTATTTGGGTCTGAAACTTTAGCAACCCAGAAAGCATGCGGCAATCTAAACGAAACTCCAGTCCCAACTACTCATTAGATTAGCAAAAAACCATCATCCAAATGCAAGATTAACACACATGAAAGGGGAAATCTAGACTAGGGGAGGGGGAAGCTGCGAAGAGGAAGGGGAAAACAGCCAAAGTAGGAAAGAAAGAATAAGCAAATAAAAGCAAATTTCCTGCTCTTTTCCTTCTTTTTTTTTTTTTAATTTTATTTTTCTGTTTTCTCTCTTTAGGGCTGCGTTTTATCCCTTTTATAGGAACACAAACCTCCCTTCCACCCTAAAAGTAATGGTGTGGATTGAATTGCATTTTCATGGCATTTTTGAGCCATTAGATTGGCTATACTTCTAGATTTTTCTGATAGAGATCAAGGGAGTGAGGTGACAAAGGATTGGGGAACAAAAAAAAAAAAGAGTGGAATGGGTTCCAAATGCCAGCTGCAAAATTTGTACTGATACTCCATGGAGAAATTTGTACTGATACTCCATGGCTTCTTCGTACGAAGAAGAAGAAACCAGCGCACGCGCTTGTGGGCTTTTTTTTTTTAAGAAAAATCTGGTTTTAATCAAAAACTTTCTTTTTCTTTTCTGCCTTTTCTTTCCTTTTCTCTCTTTTCTAATTTTTAAAAAAATGAATTAAAATGATTTTTCTCAAGAAATAGAAATAAAACAAAAATAAATTAAAATAACTAAAATTTAACTAAAAATGAACAAAAATAACAATAAAATAAAGAAAAATAAAAATGATAAAATTCTGGTGTCTACAGAAGTGTATACACCGTCGGTTTTGAATGAATGATAATTATACAAAAATTGAATTTAAAATCTAATTTTTACACATGTATCATTGATTTAACGGTGATAATATATACACTATCAGTTAATTAATGTGCATAAGATTTACTCTAAAATTTTTTGGATTTAAATTTGTGAACGATAAGTGCCATAAAAGAACACAAAAAGTAGATCCAATTAATTTAGGCCTGTCATTTTGTTGTTCTCACCACATAGGAAACAAGCTTTGCCCATGCGTGTGACTATTGTGGAATTTGTGCCAAAATTGAAAGATATAGTAAATAACTGTGCATTTTTTGTTCAGCAAGTTGCCTTCTTGACCAATTACAAACTTTTGCTCATGCTTTAAAGAGTTTAAAAACTTCATTCTTTCCCAAATTGAGCTAATGCTCAAAGTTTGATTTTAATTTGACGGAACAAGAAATCAAGTCTACCTTTTATACTCTAGACGGTTATAAGGGGACACTATGATTATGAATAGCAATTTGAGGCAGTGTAACCAGTCTTCTTCTTCTTCTTCTTCTTCATCTTTTTTTTTTTCTGGGGTGAGAAGGCAGTATACATGTGTGTCTATGTATATATGTATCTATATATATGTGTATATATATATGTATATATTTTAACTTTTTTTAAACGGACAGGAAGCAAGTTAAATGCTCCAAGGAAAAAAGGAATAAATATCAATGTTTTTAAAAAATATAAAATAAGAAAATTAAAAGGACTTCTGATTTACTTTAACATTTTACACTGAAAAGTATCTTTTTCTCCGAATTAAAATTTTTATCTACTTGCATATAATTTTTGGAGGGTATAATTGTCTTTTTAATTTTTGTATGCATGAGATCACCCAAAAATTGCATCCACGTTCATTTCGGTGCATGTTGTGCAGCTAAAATAACAATGTTGGATTCAATATAAGTTTTTCCAATTTGATTGTAACATTATTGACAAAAATTGAAAAGTCCAGGGGGGCAGACTGGTCCAATTGAACAATAAGTGGGCAAAATGAGATTAATTCACTTTCTGAGGGTGCATTTCTGAATTAACCTTTTTGTTATTTTTAGCCGTCTCCTCATTTCTTTCCTTTATCCTTCGTTCCCCCTTCATACAAATTCAACTCTTTTGTCCAAAATCAATCTGACATCATCATCACCATCATCATCTTCATCTTCATCATTCTTTCCATGGTCAAATTCAAATTCCACACAAAAGTCCCAATGAAATTGCCGTACAGATAAACTTCAATCGCGAGAAAATTGAGGAAACAGATAAAGGAAGAAAACGAGAAACCTAAGAAAATCGTAGATAGTAATTCAAAGCAGCTGGATGCAGAATATAATACAATCTTGCTGCTTCAATTGGCTGAAATCCTCATATTCCCCGCCCACATGGGCCACTGCTATAGGCGGCGTTTTTGTCATCGTCACACTTATTCTCTCCATTTACCTACTGTTCGAACACCTCTCCGCTTACAAACATCCGGAGGTCATTTTCTTCTTTTTTTTTTCCCTTTAATAAATTTTGTTTATGGTTATTTTTGTTAGTTGGAGAGAGGGGTTTTGCTGAATTTAGTTTTCTTTTTTTGGTGGAATTGATTTTGTTAATAGGAGCAAAAGTTTTTGATCGGAGTCATATTGATGGTGCCCTGCTATGCTGTTGAATCTGTAAGTTGATTTTCTTTTCCCGGGTTTAGTTATTTAGTCTGTCAAGTTGAAATGTTCTATGATTTTTTAGGAGATTTGGGATGTGGGTTGAGCTGTATTATCAGCTGCATTATGCTGTGATAGTGTCGGTTTCAGTTGGGTTTTGCTTTATGGTGTGGTTATTGTGTACAATTCAGTTGTTCTATGTTGTGGTTTCGTTTGTTGACGCTGCAAAGCTTGTTTGTTATTGCTTCATTCGATGGATCTTGGTTAAAGACTCAAATTTGTTATGGAGATGTTTGGTCTGCGTGGTGGTTCTCACGTTTGCTCTGAACTATTAAGTGATACGAGTGAGATGGAGCTTTTAATTGATTTAGCCGTGTAGAGAACATGTCTATGTGCATACATCTATCTTGCTGTGTCTAAAGGTTTGTCGTGGGAGAGATCAAAATCTAAAACCTTTGTTGACTAAAGGAGATGATAAATTAAGAGAGGGATAACAATAGATCTGAGCATGATTTAAGTGCAAGAGATTGCTACAGAGGTTATTGGGATTGTATATTACTGGTGATCAGTTATAATGGTGTCTTTTGTAGAGGACCTCAGTTGTCTGAATTGTAGAGTGAATGTAGCAGGTACATATGCTTCTCTTTGGCTTGTTTCTTTCAAATTTTCATTTCCAGCTATGACGAGATTCTGGAATCTGTATAAATGGTTAATCTTCCTAGCTATTAGTGAACCATAAGTATTGCAATAGCAGTTGCTCTACTAGTTTGTCTCTATCCACGTTGGATGATGCTAAGTTGCAATTAAAAGTCATGCCAAATAGTTACTTTTTACTTTGTGTTTATCAAGTTTGACGGGGAGCAACAATTTTTTTTTGCCTGCACTCTCATGCATTTTTTGTCCTACAAAGTTTTCTGGACAAGAGTTAGTTATCTGCAACAATTTCATTAATTACTACTAACTCTGGCTTTCTCTCAGTTCTTTTACTTTCAAACAAACCCAGAACAAAGTGATTTGGCTCTCCTTTTAGTATATTTCTCTCATGTGTTTTTTCATGTTTATTATGCTATTGATGCTATCTTTTCTAGTTAAGCGAGCTAATTTTATGTATAGATTCATATGGGATCTGTCTGTTTCTTTTCACAATAAACGTATTTTCATCTTGGAAGTACGAATTAATGAAATTATTTATGATCCCAAAGTTTTATCTTGACTATTTGCTGATATGTCCAGAAAATGATATTCACTGCTCTTACGTTTTATCGACTTTGGATATTGAATTGAAAAAGGGTAGTATTTTTTTTGGCTAATCTTGTATGTGTGAGAGAGAGAGAGAGAGAGAGAGAGAGAGACTGCTTATTTTCCTTTACATGCATAAAAGATGGAGAGAAAGGGAGAGAGATAGAGGAGGTTTAGGTAGTGAGTTGACTTGCTATTAGCGCCAGCTCAGCTCAATATGAAGCTTGAAGAAAATCGATTCAACCAAGTGATGTGGGATCCTTGATAAGAATTGAACTAAATGAAGGAGGGACTACTCCATAAAGTCATTTTTTTATTTCTATTAATTTGAAGCAGCTCTGGAGCTTTAAAGAATAAGAAAATTCCACTGTTGCTGAGCTTATTTTATGAACCATAATGAGCTGAATTCTTTTTGAAATTTTTTTTTTAGTGGAGAGGAATTTAGGCTGATCTAGGTGACTAATATGTGTGATGGGGATGAACTTTAAGAAGAAGAAGAAGAAAAGAGGAAGCAACATTCTTGATGTCATAACTCTGCCACAGGAGAGTTAATATAAGGTATTTTTGGGGCAGAGTTTGGTCCTTCAAGAAAAAGTTGGAGGCAAGGTTCTGACAGCATGTGGCTGCCCCTAAGTGCAATTTCATTGCTAGCTGAGCTTACAAAATAATTAAAACCACGAGTGAGGGTTTTTTTTTTGTTGTTTTGTTTTGTGGGGGGGGGGGACTAAAACTACTCGTTTTCCAAGGAAAACATGGTTTCCAGGATGAGGAAATATTAGCACAGTGCTGCCTTTAGAGCACAAAGGATAACAATATCCTAGCAGCATTTGGTGCATCAAAGCATTTGCACAATTAATAAATCACCCTGACCCTAGAACCTATTTTAAGCAGCAAGATAAACCTACATATAAAATCTAGATAAGCTTCAGTTTGAAAATTTTGCAACCAACTTTCTTGTTTTCCTATAATACAATCCAATGTTTCCACTTTTATCTGTATCATTAAGTATTTGGGCAACTTTCTAATGAGCTGCCGACAAGCATCTGGGTCCTGCGCACCCCTATTAAGATTTCTCAGATTAACTGCTTATAACTGATTATTATGAGACTATTTATCTATACTTCATAAGCATTTACATCATAGCATAAGATAGCATTGAAAAGTTACTTCTTAGCTATATGAGAACAAATGTTATTGCTTAGTTAGTGTGCTTCTGAAAGAGTGTAGGTACTTATTTGCATGTGCATGTTTAAATATAATTAGGCTCATAAATAGTGTTCTTTTATTCCCTGAGTATCATGAGCTTTTCATCTCCCTCAGAATGAGTGGGAGCAAATCTTAGACAGCTAGAATTTTTCTAAAAGAAAATTATTATATTTATGGCTAGTTATTCAAACTTAAGTACTTTCAGGCCTTTTTACCATCTCAAGCCGAGGTACCTCCTCAGCTGTTTTGACTGTTTGTCATTATTTGTGCTTAAGTTCTGCTTTAGACTTCTTCTTACATCTGTTATGTGTACACCATTTACAGTTTGTGTCATTGTTGAATCCATCAATCAGTGTTGATGTTGAGATCCTTCGTGATGGCTATGAGTCCTTTGCAATGTATTGCTTTGGGAGATATCTCGTTGCCTGTTTAGGTATGAATTTGATATTTATACTTGTGTTGGTGCTGTTATCATGCAGATCATCCTACTTTAAGTTTCATCATAATAGCTATATTTTTCTTGTTATCCTTTATCTTATTTTGTTTATATCAAAATGTTTATTATCCCCACTAATATGAATAGCTGGCATGCGTAACTGTCCCCGAAAAAAGTTGAGTTTCTTTCTTTATTTATAGTAAAGGACTGATTGACAATATTAATTAAGCAAAAATTAATCTAATCTCTGTTTTTGAAAGTGGCTTATTCCATTTTCTTAATATTTTCCGATGAAGGTGGGGAGGACAGGACTATAGAGTTCATGGAGAGGGAGGGACGTGCAACTTCCAAAACACCCTTACTGGATCATGGCTCAGAAAGGGGAATAATACAGCATCACTTTCCTTTTAATCTTTTCATGAAGCCATGGAAATTGAGTCAATGGGTTTATCAAGTTATCAAGTTTGGAATTGTCCAATATGTAAGTTTGCTTCTCAGAATTGGATCTTTGATGTTTGTTGTCATAAAAATTATGATGTTCCTTTCTTAGTGGTTTTTTTTGCCCCTCTTGCAGATGCTTATAAAAGCATTTACTGCTATTCTGGCAGTAATTCTGGAAGCTTTTGGTGTTTATTGTGAGGGAGAGTTTAGATGGAACTGTGGGTAAGAAGTCAATATCTTGAACTGCATTGGTTTTGTCCTTAAGTATGACCTAACACAACATGTGATTAAAGTGATAACCAATTGTATGCTACAGCTAAATAAAATCAAACTAACCCAGGCAGAGATACACCTATGGAGATAGATTTTTGAATTAGCACACGAATGCCAACATACTCAATGCCAAGTCTGATAGCTTCTTTTGACAATTTTGAAATGCTTAATTTCTAGTGATTTTGGTTTTGAAAAATTCTGGTTGCGTCTGAATTTGGGGTTTCATAAATTTAAGGGGGCTTAATTTGGGATTTGAATTTTACACTTTGCCTCTGTTCTAGTTTTGGGCCTTAGGGCTGCAGAGTAAGTGCCGACAGCAGCAGGGAAGAAATTTTGGATAGAGTGAGATTTAGTTGTGTGGATAACCACATTTTCAAGTAGAAAATGATTTCCTTTACTCTTTGAGTGCTTTTGGTATGGTTTCAGTTTCCATAAGTTCTTCAGTCATTGGATGTTAGCTTATCATAAGTGGCTAAAAGTTATTCAATTGTTGATTTTGAGGAGATTGTTGTGGCTTCATTGAAACGTTAAAGATAATCAGTATTGGGGAAATGTAATTCACTTTTTTCAATTTTCTCCCTTTATATCCTGGTAGAATCATTCTCAAGTCTTGAAGTTGATTCTTCTTAAAGTCATTGTGTGATTACTCATGATGGCTCTGATTTTGTTTGCCTCATAATTCTTGTAGGTATCCCTACATGGCCGTGGTTTTAAATTTCAGTCAATCGTGGGCTTTGTATTGCTTAGTGCAATTTTACAGCATCACAAAGGTTGAATTAGCACACATTAAGCCATTAGCCAAGTTTCTGACATTTAAGTCAATTGTGTTCTTGACTTGGTGGCAAGGTATCTTTATTGCCCTTTTCTATGATCTTGGCCTGCTAAGAAGCCCTATAGCTCAAGCTTTGCAGTTCCAGTCAAGTGTTCAAGATTTTATAATATGCATTGAGGTAATATTCCATCTAATTAGTTTCTTCTTATATCAATTTGCCCAACTTTATTCTCATTTTAAAGTTTGAACATAATACTCATACTCATTGACATGATTGACGAAAAGTACTTGGGTAACACATGCATGTAATTTGTTTTAAATACTTATTTGGTATTTTGGGCTTAAAGTTCTCATGATTACCATCCTTATCTAGCCGAAATTGATGGCCAGAGTTATAGATTGTTGATAGGGTAATTGCTTGTCGTTGCTCACTTTTTCCATGGTCTAAAAATTTTTAGCAGGCGTAAGTATTGTGCATTGTAAAACTGGGAAAGAGGGGATGAAGTCAACTCCTAATGTAGCATAACTTGGAAATAACACACGAAATCATAATGGATGGCTTGTTCATTTCTTGTTTTTATGTCTCTGAGGGAAGAAGAGAAGATTATTTCTGGGCTTGGGACTTTTTTTCTTTTGGCCCCTGGTGGCTTCTTCGTTGGTGGAGCATGTCATGTCTAACTCATGGAGATGATGCCAGTTGCATGAATTCCTCCTTTAAGCCATGGGGGTCTACCAGATAGATACTGTTGCAATTTAGCATTTCCAAGCTAATCATTTTTGTGTTTTATCCATGTGATTATTGATAGAAATGTACTTTATAGAATTGCAAACTGACTTGTACCTCTTGGCTATAGGAATCAGAGTTTGCAGTTCAGTGTGGTCAGCTGATGGAAATAGGCTGTGATCAAGGAGATTTTTCTCCTTTCATTCTCTCTTTCTTCCTTTAAAATGAATGATAGAAAATCTTTGGAGCTAAATAATTGACATATGTGTCAAAGACAAATGGCCTCCTAAATTCATGTCAGACAAGCTCTTGAATTCATAGGAACATGAGCCTTTTCCTTTGTCAAGTCCTCGATCATAGAATTGCTGTCCATTGGGTGTTTTGTTAGCATAATAGCAGTTATGACAAACACATGTTTAGAAGTTCCACTTTACTTTTTGGGTCACTTGGTTTCAGTTTCTCGAAATGTCTGGAACTATAATTCTGATCTGATGATTTTTTTGGATTCAGATTTAAAATGTGATTTTTCGCTTCATGTTCACCCTTACCCATACTGTGTTGTGCATGACTACGCAATGCTGAAATTTTCAAGTAAATATGAAAGTTTAACAGGCCTTCGTATTTATCCAGCACAGATGGGCATCGCTTCTGTGGTTCATCTGTATGTGTTCCCTGCAAAGCCGTATGAGCTGATGGAAGACTATTTCCCTGGAAGTGTTTCAGTTCTTGGAGACTATATTGGTGAATATCCAGTTGATCCTGAAGAGGTTAGAGACAGTGAGCGTCCTACAAAATTGCGCCTTCCCCAACCTGAAGTTAATGTTAGAAGTGGAATGACCATCAAAGAAAGCGTTAAGGACGTTTTTGTTGGTGCTGGTGAATTTGTAAGTTTTTCTTCTCCATGGAACAGAGATAAGCTATTTTGGGTAGTTAGGGCTACCTTGGTGTTACCAAGACACTGATAAGTGATGTTCATAAGCTCTGTTTAAGGATAATCATCATCATGGTAGTAATCTCTTTCAGTAAAGCTGGGTTTAACAGAAGAATAGCCTGAAAACTCTTTATTTACTTTAGTCATCTCAGTCAGTGTCTGGCTATTCTTGCTTTTATTAATTTGCTTCATCTACTCTTTATATATTTTTAGGTTGGGGTAGGGTAAGATATCCCTTCGTTGTGTTTCATTTTCTGGATTTGGGGTTGTCTGGAAGATTGTGGGATTTGATCACATGTTAATGGAGGATTTTCGCTCATGGAGTTTTGTAGATCTTGAGGACCATAATGTACTTGAAAATGTTACTGCATTGAATGGAATATCAGATAACATAGAATTTCATTAGTGTTAGTATGTAGGACCCTGAATTAGTTGTTGCCTCACCAGCCCTTTGAACCTTAAGGAATTACTTTTTGTGGTCTCATTGAACCCATTTCTCAGATGGGAGAACATGTGTATTGGTCATTGTGCTGTGGTGCGGGTGGCTCTATGTTCATTTTAGTAATTGGCAACCATGCAAACTCTTATCTGTAAATGTGGATTTAAGCTTTCGAAGAAAGACTCTTTTACAAAAAGATTGTGCTACATGCTATTCTCTCATTGATGCTTGGTTAATTTTTTTTCCTGAACTTTTCTTTTTTTGTGTATGTCATTGTTTCCTTGCAGCATCTCTGCCTTTTATTTTGTTTTTTTTTTTATTTATTATTTTTCACTTGTTTGGACACCTTTGACCTTATTGTCCCTTTATGCATGTTGGACTAGCATCTTTCTTTGTTCATGTAAACATCTTTCATCAGTTCTAATTCTGGAATTTTAAGCTGTGATCTAGATTGTGAATGATGTGAAGTTTACTGTGACACAAGCTGTAGAGCCCATGGAGAAGGGAATTTCCCATATAAATAAGAAACTGCATAAGATCTCTCAGAACATGAAGAGGCATGAAAAAGAGAGGAGGACTAAGGACGACAGCTGTATTGATTCTCCATCTCGCAGAGTAATTCGTGGAATAGATGATCCCCTCTTAAATGGTAGTATGAGTGATACTGGGAGTGTTAGGAAGAAGAGGCACCGTCGAAAATCTGGATACACCAGTGCAGAAAGCGGTGGTGAGAGCAGCAGTGATCTTAGATATGGTGACTATCAGATCCGAGGCAGGAGGTGGGTTACCAAAGACTAATGTTGCACATGAACAGACAATTGTGTACAGGAGATCCCTCGGCGTGATCTTTTTTCTCCTTCAACGCGAGGACTGCTCTCTTCAAAGCATGTTTCTGCTGCAATGAAGTTCAAAGTTTTCATTTTGGAATTACATCAATGCTTGGGTTTTACTCGTATCATCCGATTGAAGTGGCATCCTGAAAGGGTGTATGGAGACACTTTGCCGTATGCATTACATCAAACTTAATAGGCGAAAAGATTGTACCATAGAGCTCTCTCTAAATTGGTTGCGAAGTTTCCAAACCGTATTAGGATGAATTTGCTCAACCAGTTTTTCGAACACCTCTCCTTAAATGCAAATCGATGTCTTCCTTAGGTTGTTGTACCACAGACTCGTTTAATTTTGATCAGTTGCTGAGTTTTTCATGGGCAGGGATGGATCAAGACAATCTAAAGCTGTGTGCGCAACTTTCCATCTCATGATTCTTTTCCATAGTTGCAGTTCTGACAAGAGGATTCTCCTCCACGACTTCAAATATTGCATCTTCTCAGGGCTGAGAATGAATGGTGCAGTCCAACGATGCAGGCAAGATTTGTAATTTTTTACTTCTAGTTGATTGTGATCGATCTGGATTTCAAAAAAGGCATAGCTTCTTTCGTTACTACTGCTAAATAAATGTCATGTGGGACGACCCTCCTTGTGTAAGATGATTTTATCACCTCTCAAAAGGGCTATCACTTTTCCTATCGAGCATGTTCTCATTTTATGTAATGTCAAATAGGTACCTAAAAAGTTATGTTTGGTGAGTCAAGTCTTTCTGTATTTTTAAACATAATAATCAAGTAGCACATCATCATGATTTTTCCTTTTTTAAGTTAACCTTGCTCGCACAGCATTGTTAATGAGAAGAATGACAGCTTAATTGTGTGTTCTTTGATGACAAACTATTGAACTTCCATCACCACTTCAACCACCAGACTCATTATAAAGTAGTGCAAAGTAAAATGGTACCAGCCTCCTCTCCCACTTCAAATAATCATAAATTTTGCAAGCTCAATGCCCAAATTTGTGAACTACTTGAGGTATGGGAATGAACTACAAAGCTTTGTGTTTTATAAGGTTTAATGTGAGAAACATAACTTTGTTGAGATATGCTAACTTTTCCTATAGATTCTATCATATTGAGTTTGATACCAAAATAATTTAGTTAGTAAAAGAATAAGTCTTACAATTAGGATATTTATTAACCAAAAATCTTATTGGTTTGTTAACAAATATTTTAGCTAAGGTTTGCTAGTAGAAGAAGATTATATTTTATTGAGATTTTTAGGATAATTCTTAGTTGGATATTTGGTTAGTTTATTTCATGTAATCACTATAAATAGTGAGTTGATGAATGAATAACATAATCTCATTTTTCAGTTTCATACAAGTCTTTTATAAATCATTTTTGCAACACTATGGTGTTGTTTCTTAATTTATGCCTCAAAAAACCAACAAACTCTCATGGAATCCTAGGAAAGATGAAAGTCAATGGGAGGAGGAGGGATTCTAGATGGTTATTAAAAGAGGAAAATGCATCTATGACTAAGATTTCTCAAAGGCTTTTTGCTCAACATATGAGAAAAGGGCAGGATAAAAGTCAAGGGACTTGGAACTAGAAGGACCTGTGTGTCACAATAATATGCTACATCAATTGTTTTGCTAGATAAATTTAGGATCAATTAAGTTGACTATTTGGAATACCAATTTTAAAGGGTATAGATAAGATTGATCCTCTCTCTATCTCCAATATTAGGGTCGTTATTTTGGAAATTTAACTTTTTTTTTTAACGAAAATATAATTGTTATGTCTCCTTGAGATGATGAATTTATACAAGTATCATTTAAATTCAAAACATTCCTTCATTAAATTGGCATCATAATTTGAAAAAGTTATTTTTTTAAATAATAAAATTAAAAGCAAGTGTTAAATTTGAAATGGTAACTCCTTGTAAACCAAAAATAAAAAAAAAAGGTAAAACGGTGATCAAAGATGCGGTTTTGTTTAGTCAGAGCCCAGAAGTTGATTTTCCTGAAAATCCATTTCACAAAACAACGTCGTTTCTTCTCATCCTGTAAATCTATAATTGACTTCCAAGTACAGTGCACGCTAAAAACGTACAAACTGCCGCGGTCAACGGATCCAGAGTCAAAGGGATGCCAGCCACAGCTCTGTAAATATCGTTCCCTAGTCTCCGAAGCCAGGCTAGCCAGCGGATCTCTCAAGATGGAAAACATTCCTCAAGAAATCTTGATCGAGATCCTTATTAGGCTTCCAGTCAAATCTCTAATCAGATTCATCTTAGTCTCCAAAACCTGGCAATGCCTCATCACAAGTCCCAATTTCATCTTCACACACCTCAAAAAGATCCAGAGTCAGCCCAACAAAAATCATTCTCTTCTGCTCTGCAGGCACTATAGTCGAAATGACCAAACAGAGCATTACTCCTTGCACCCTGATAACGACGATTTTGTCCAAAAATCTTCCAAAATCAGATTTCCACTCAAGTCCAAGGTGGGTTGTTATCGAATTGTAGGCTGCTGCAATGGGTTGGTTTGTCTGTGTGATGATATGTTTGGTACGTTTCGCCTGAAACCCATAATTTTATGGAACCCTTCAGTACAGAAGTCGGTTGAGCTGCCTTTACCCAGTATTCAGCCCTATTGGGATCGTTCAAGAATATTTTTGCTTGGTTTTGGTTGTGATTTTCAGGGATTTGACTATAAAGTTGTGAGGATTGTGTATGATCGACTTTATGGCTTGTCTGTTGGGGTTGAGGTTTATTCACTTAGCACAAAAAGTTGGAAAGTTTTGGCTCATGGTCCTCAAACTTGTCCTAGGTATTACATCACCGACAAAAATCTCTCGCAGGCATTTGTCAACGGGGTTATGCATTGGCTTGCACATCGTAGGAAAGGAAGTTTGGGGAATTCAATAATGGGGTTTGATATGAAGGATGAAATTTTCATAGAGATCTTCTTACCGGAAGCTTTGGTGGATGAGCGTGCTGCAAATTTGTTTCTTATGAAACATGGTGGTTGTCTTGCTGTGATGAAGTACAACGGATATGAGAACAATTATAGCCTTTGGGTGATGAAGGAATATGGGAATGTGGAGTCGTGGAAGAGGCTGTATGATATTGGATTACTGGAAGGGATGGAGAATGTGATTGGATTCAGTAAAAACGGTCATCTTTTCGTGACAATGTTTGTGGATGAGATGTTTGTTAGTGATCCTGGAAGTGGAGTGCTGGTTTCATTTGACCTTGAGAGCAGAAAAATTAAGGATCTTGAAATTTTTGGGAAGCTTGGTTCGATTTATGTTGAGAATTTTGTGGAGAGCCTGGTCTTGCTTGAAGGATAAAGTGAATTGCAGATTGATGCTTCTACTTGCAAGGAAAAGAGAGGTGTGTGAAATGAAGAGTGGCTGTAAACAACAATAGTAGTGGAAAAAGTGGAGCAAATGACTGAACAGGCTAGGAAGATTTGATGAAATTATATCCGTTTTGGAGTGAGTTTTTATTGTAATTTTTGTTTGTGCTGTGTTTCTATTATCCAACTTTGGTAGTCTTTAAATGGAATGCTATTACCATGATTCTCATCATAGACTCGCTCGTTTATGTTCCGCTAGCCTGTTAATTTTAAAACGAACATAATGCTATAAGCTGTATTTATAATTATAACTTGGTGTTACTTCTCTGTTGTTTGGTGGTGATTCGTTGTTTTGTTGCTGCTAGTGCTCTAACCCTTTGAAATGATCTTTTGCTGTGTGCAACGTGCCCATTCGATGATGAAGGCCGCTAGTCATCTTCATCTTCTTTTGTTGTTGTGTGAGGTTCAATAACAGAGGGATACCAAATTATTCTTGATCCATGTCAAGATAGCTTTCTAAAGAACTATGTGCCTGCCCTTCAGACTGGAACTTCACTTTTAGCTTACGGACTTGCCTTCAGCTCAAGAATGTCTATTATATTCTTTGTTGTACATATGACTGGCCTTCAGCTTTTAACTCGACTTGGCTTGTTTGCAGCCCTAGACCGTGCCATTTCAAATAGAGAACTTTTGTTATTGTCCATCTTTCTCCAATTGAATTCCTTTTCTTTCTATTTATTTTGCCAGGTGAAAACATAAAGCAAATAATTACAGGGAAAATTTATATCAAGGGCGAGATTTTGAGCCGGGCATATGTAGCTTTTTCTGTCACTAAATTTTTCAAGAAACTCTACCAATGCTCCACTCTTTCTTGGGGGTCTTTCTAATTCTGAGCAGCTGCCCCATCTCTCAAACCTGAAAAATGGAATTGGAAACTACCTAGGACAACATTCCCGAAGAAATATTGACTGAAATCTTTATGAATGAAACAATCCCAGTCAAATCCCTAGTCAGATTCTCCTAGTCTCCAAATACTCACAAGTCCTAGTTTTATCTCGAGGCACCTCATTAGAAACCAAGGACTAATGTAGGGTCCTTCTCAGAAGGGTAGAAATAATGCCTAATTCTCAAAACAAGAGTCAAGCATTCATATTATCTCTTGGCAAACCCAAAAAAAAAAAAGGTACAGACGCAAATCTATTGCCCATTAATCTCAGATATTACTGGGTTCTGGATCCTAATGCTACACTTGATAGCAAGGGTGGAATTCAGAACCTGCTGCAGTGGGTCATGATCAAGCATAGACTAACTGGAATTAGGTGCAAAAGGGACACTCTGCTGTGTTCAATAAGAGGCCAAGATATCTAGGAGTTTGGTCAACAGACAAGTTACTGCAATTGGGACTGATAAAACTTCAAAATTAGAGGAACAAAAGTTGGACGTATATAATCCAGTTTTCACTCTGAAACAAACAAATTTAGTAAAAGGCATGTGGTTATTTTGGGACCATGGGTAACATAAGGTCAGATCCTCTGGAAGCAATCCAACAAAGGCACCGCCAGGAAATGAGTAGTGTAGCATAACTTTCTGCTTACTGTATGTTGGAAGTTTTATAAGAACGTAAAAAATGACGAACTTAAGGAATCAGCTCATGCATTTTCCCATGATTTTTCTGCATTCTTTGTCTCACAAAAATTGTAAACTTTTATGGGGCGATCTATTTAAGTACAAAATAATTTCAATAATTACCGTTAACTACTTGTTCCTCACAATTTTTGCTTGTCAAACATGCACGTGAATAATAATAATAATACGGGTTAAATGTAAAAAAACCCCCCACAAACTATATATCTAATCGTAGTTCACCCCCTAATAGGCATTTTACTCCATTGAATTATATGTTTGGACAACACACCCATTTTTTTCTTTTTTCTCTATTCTTTTTTTTTTTTCATTTTTCTCCTTTTCTCCCATTTCTTTTTCCTTTTATTTTCTTTTTTCCCCTCCTCTCATGGAACTAGCCAATGTTTCCCTTCAGTGCTAAAAGACTTACATCAAAATTTTTAATATTTTTTGAACTACTTTTTTTATTCGTTTATTTGCTAAATTCATTCTTAATAATTCATCATAAACTCTTTGTTATCACAAAATATATGTAGCTTATATTGTAAAAGTGTACTAATCCAGTAATTCAACAATTTAAATACCTATAAACCAATTAGAGTTTACAATTACTCAATTATTTATAACAAAAGTAAATTATTATATATCACGTAAGAAAGAAAAGTTAACAATTATTTTTTGCAGTGAAATAAAAAGGTAAGAATAAACAACAATAGTAATTTATTTTTTATTTGTTATTAATACTATTAATAATTGATTAATCAATATCTCTATTTTGTTCTTATATATTTGAATAGTTCAATTTCTTACATGATATTGGCTTCAACATTTAAAAAA